TAAAATTTTGAATTATTTGTTTATTTGTTTTTATTTATTTATTTGTTTGTTTATTTATTTTATTTATTTTTTTTTTTAGTACACAGATACACAGATACACAGATACGATATACTGATACATAATTGATTAAGAGAATGCACCCTAAAAATAAATATCAAATCTTTGGAGTGTGAACAGAATTGGCAGCAAATGTGCAAAAAAGGAAAGAAAATTATTGCGTAATAATTTCTAGCTACAATAAAATGTAGCAATGAGTGCGAAAAATCGAAATTAACTAAAAGAAAATTATTTCGTATATACGTAATAATTGCGTATATAATTAATATTTGCTATTACTAATAAATACCGTATTCCATTTGTCAAAATACCGATGCAACAAGTCATTTGATCACAGTTTATTTTACTATGCAAAACTTGCATCATAACGGATAATTTTGTGAACAGAATAGAATATGATATTACGAAAATTTTTCATAACAGTAGCTACTACAGCTACATAGCTTCCAGATCGGTGGCACAATCATTTCCCAACTTTTGACAAAAAAAGGGAACAATGGACTGATCAAAAAATAACTATAATATTGTATGAATTCCGAGAGATTATTATCGTTATAATAAAAAGCAATTTTCACGTTAAAATATCTTATCATTTCATATTTAGATTTTTCGATATATTCTCGCAGACATGAATAACAAGCTTAATCAGAATCTTTTAAACAAATTTAATCAAAATCTTTTAAGTAATAATTTGTTAAGTTTGCTTGAAAGTTCTGAAGGTTTTGATACAAAACTTATAGTCGGTAAAGAACCAGATATTAAGGAATTTAAAGCACATTCAATTATCTTGTCATCAAGGTCCGCTTACTTTAAATATGCATTATCATCCCGGTGGGCAAGGAGAGAGAATGGAATAATCATTTTCAATAAGCCTAATATTTCGCCATTGGTATTTGAAATTCTTATACGGTAAGTTATGTGTGTATATTATCTTTTTCTACATAATAACAATAAAATATTGAAATGAAACTAAAATAGTGCTTTATTTTCTATATAATGAATAGTTATATTTATACAGGAATATTTTCTGTAGAAAATAATATTAGCCTTGTTGACATTTTTATTTCTGCTGACGAGATTGAATTACTTGAACTTTGTAAACAACTTAAGAAATGTTTACTTGAAATTGAATCGGCGTGGAAATTTCCAAAAGATTTTATTACGTTATGTCAACATAATGATGCTGATTTATATAATGTTGCATTTGATCTTGTATGTAAAAATCCCAAGACTGTTTTTGAATCAGAAGAGTTCTTAAAAATGGAAGAAGACCATCTCATCCGTTTTTTGAAAAGTGATGACCTTCGGCTGGATGAGTTTGTAATTTGGAAATATTTAGTTAAATGGGGAGTTAAAAATAGTTCTATTTTGACAAATGATTTAGCTAAATGGGAGTCAACAGATTTTAAGAAACTTGAAAAAACTATACATAATTGTATTCCTCATATTAGATTTTTCCAAATGTCACTTCATGAGCTTCGTTTAGTTAAGACTCAATATAAAAATATTCTGCCGGACCTTTCTGATGAGATTTTGAGTATCCTGGATTCTTGGCGTGACCCTAGGCACGATCTTTTACAAAAAAAAAAATAAATAAAATAAATAAACAAACAAATAAATAAATAAAAACAAATAAACAAATAATTCAAAATTTTA